TATCGAAGGCAGTCGAGCACAGCGCCAAGGCCCGCCGGGCGGACTGACTCTGCTCATCTGAAGTAGAGCGACTAGAGAACCTCTCTTCAAATCTCAGCTCTTTTGGTGCACCTGCAAATCTCTTATCTGAGTATGGATTTTCTCTTTTTTCTCAAAATTTTCATACATGTTCAAGACGCCGATGATCGCTGCAGTTTTGCACTAATCTAAAATCTACGCACTCAAGGTGTTCGACATATGTCCCGCAAGTCCTTTTAAACATTCTTGTTCCTCTATCCTTTCATCACAGTTTCAGAAGAATGTATTCCAGCAGAGTTCAACCTTTCATAAGCACCATTTTTTTCAAGACTTTTACTACTCTTCAAGCACGCCAATTTCGGAGAAGAACCGCCCAAAATGCCAACAAGGTATCCTTGTACCTCCAGAGGGCAAAGCTCATAGACTCAATAAGGCATTGTCTCCACTCCAATCTACCCGAAACCTCTCTTCTCAACATCTTGAACAGTCCATCTTTGGACTCATTTGTCGTGACCAATGCACTCCGGTCGGCCCCTTCTCCTGCCTCGGCTCTGTCCCTGGCCGAAACCCTTAAAAAGATTGAACATTTTTCTCATTCCCAAGATACCCTTCACGCCCTGGCCAAGATTCTCGCCAAGTCCGGGCAAACGGGCAGACTTGGAGCGCTGATCGATGCCATAAACACTGGAAAATTCAGGAACGTGGCTTTTATTAGTTACATGGACCGAATGCGGTGGTATGCGGATGCAGGTGATTTGGATAAGTTGACTCGTGTTTGGGACGAGTGGAGAAGGTCATTGGACAAGCATCCTTGTACTGAGTCCTATAATATTGTAATGAAACTCTGTGTGGACAAGGGATTGGACGAAAGGGCCCTCGACGTGTTTCGTAGCATGATTGAGGAAGGAGCTCTTCCTAATTGCCGAACGTACACGGTCGTGATTCAGCATCTGATTAATTTCGAAAAACTCGATTCGGCAGCTGAAATTTTCCAGATGCTGCCTCTGATGAGAATCAGACGAACTTTGAAGCAGTATTCAGTGTTGATCGAGGCTTTCACGAAAGCCGATCGGTTAACTGCTGTGAAGACCTTGCTCGACGAGATGCAGGCCGGTGGGATACTGCCATGTCGCGCCATGCTGAGTTCTTTGCAGAGAATGAGGGAAATGGGCTTTGTTGACGAGACGGAGGAGTTGATTAATGAGATGATGCCGGACGAGAGGATAAAGTGCGTACACTATTCGATTTTTAGTTCGGAAGAAGATTATGAGGAGAACAACGAGAGTGGCGGTAGTGTGTCTGGAGTGGAAAAGGGTGAAATTATTCAGCTGAAGCCATGGCTCGACCCGGCCGCCTTAGCTAGTGCATTGAACAACTGGGATTGTGAGGAGGTCTCTGCTTTAGAAGATGCGGAGTTCTTCTGGACAAGCCGGCTCGTCTGCAAATTGATCCGAAACTTCAAATCGGCCGAAAAGGCGTGGCAGTTTTTCTGCTGGGTCGCTCGTCAGCCCGGGTTCGTTCACGACATCTACACGATATCAAGAATGAGTTCCAAGCTGGCACGTGAGGGGCATGTCCAGCTTGTCAACCAGATCCTGCGCAAAATAAAAAACGAGGGGATTAACCTCTCTTTCAGCACGATCCGGCTGATAATCGATTTTTACGGGTTTTCGAAGAAAGGTGATGCGGCCTTAGATGTTTTTCGAAACTCGAATGCAGTATGCAGACCACTGTCTCGAAACGGTCGGCTTATATTATATTCGTCTCTCTTGAGAACATTGGCCAAGTGCAAGATGCATGTCGAGGTCTTTGACGTGCTTGAAGAGATGTTTCTGGTCGGGCTTTTACCCGATTTGCAGACATTTTCGGGCCTAATGCATAATTACGCTCTTCAAGGGGACATTAAAACCGTGCAGAGGTTGCTTGGTATGGTGAGGCAGGGCGGGATGGAGCCAGATGCTTACATGTACAAGGTTTTGATATGTGCCTACTGTAAATGTGATGGGGCTTCTCTTGCTTTGAGGGTTTTTGAGGATATGAAGAATTCGGGCCTTTTACCTGATTTTAAGACTAAGGAGTTGCTCATCAAGAGTTTGTGGAAAGAAGGGAAACTTAGAGAGGCGGCTCAGGTGGAGGAGGCGGTGAGTGAGGCGGCAGATGGTGGTGATATTCCACTTGCTCTGCCGGGGCATTTGTATACTGTGAGCACGGGAGATCTTCTGAAAGTGTGCAAATTGTACTTCAGTAGTATTGCTGTGGAAAGTCCGAGCGAGGATAAAAGGAAGTCCGAGTCGTTTGTGTAAGTGTTTTTAAGGGCAGATGCTGTGAAGGGGAACAACAAGTGGAATTTTAGTTTTGCATTAAGCCTTCCTCTGTTGGGATAAAATTATTTTAATCTTGTTTGAAGTTTTCTCCTTCACATAAATGGTAAGCTGAACACAAAGCTTGGAGTCTTGATTTGATTATCAAGTGTTGTTATGTCCTTTTTTTGATTGTTTTTTCATGCTGGGATGCATTTATCTGCCAAATTAACTCCTGCCTCGGAATTGTTCTTCACTAGAAACTTGATCGGATATCGTAGCTTCCAAAGGTGAAATTTGATATGGCCACAAAAATAGCCCGGTTCGGCTGTGGTTTGGTTCGGGTTCAACGGTATTAATTAAATTAGCTCAAGAATTTGGCTACGATTTCTAAAAGAAAGAATGATGTTAAAAAAACTGAAGCAGAACAGAAAATAAAATACATCTACAACTAGTCAGGAACTCGTGTATTGGCTCCACATGAACAAATCATCATCATCACCACCATCGGACTTCGAAGGGCTCTGGGCTTCAACAGTGTCATTTGCAACATCGCTGTTCTCTTCTTCTCGAGTGCGCTCGCCTTTTGGTTCTTCATCCTTCACGATGCATTAAAAAAGCATAAACAAACGTAAAAAAACAAAAGTATTATATTATTTGTAACAAATAGGGCTGCCTTGGGACACAAATTTTGGTGGAGCAGAAAATGGCATACATTGGCATTGGTAGTCCCATCATCTGCCCCTCCTTCATTGCCAGTAGGATCTATCGGGTCATCCTTCTCACCATGCTGTTTTTCCTCAGCCCCAATTTGCTTTAGGCGCTCTATTACTTTCTCGAAATGGGAATAATCTGCAGAAGAATATGCCAAAAATTTCAAGACAACAAAAACTCTAGAAAAAAAAGCTCTGGCCGATATTCAAACCATTTACAACGGTGTATTCCTATATATATTTCAAAATTACATCCAACCATTCACAATTGTTTCTCATTTACAAATTGCAGCCTTCACACGGGGGTACATATGTCTTAATATGACCTTCAAGGAGATGTTTTGGAATATATGCAATAGAGATAACTAGTGGACTTCTTTACAACTAGAAAAGGAGTATTTTATGTAATACGATAGAATTGCTCGAGCAAACCTTTAGTACGGTTGGTCAAAGCATCACGAAGCCTCATCGGATGCTGACGTTCCTCCTTTTTGTACTTCAGCTTTACTTGTCGCCGGGTTCGGCCAGGAAAAAGTTGCTCTATCATAGAAAGGTCTGTCCCGAACTGCCTCACAGCCTATCAAATAGGTAGAAAAAGGTATGAGCCTTGTCCACTTGTTGGTTTTAACCACGAATCAATACTTGATAGATTAAGAGGATCCGAAAAATATTTTCACAAGAAATGTTATTCTCTTAGCAACATAAAATTGACGTAATGAACTAAACTACTATAAAAGTGCCAATCAGCATCTGCAGTCTAATCATGTAATTGTCTGGCAAATAATTTATTTCTTCCCAATCAAGTAGCTAAATATCTCCTAGCTAGTCATTAAAGTCTCTAAACTCCTTTATCGGGTCCTCCAGTAGAAAATGTTAGCCTGCTCAAATCCTCTAGGAGGAGGATGATGAAACCCTAGTGACTAGCTCATGAAACTAACGATAACTACAAAAGTCTCTAAACTCCTTTATAGGGTCCTCCGGTATGTTTTGGTGTGCTATGGCCTGGGCTGCTTTTAAATTTATCTCTTTCGTTTTTATTTTCTTTTTCCGTTCCTCTTTTTTATTTTTACTTTTTGGCATTGTTTATGGTTTTTGACCATGTAATTAAATCACTCATCGTAGAAAAGCAAAAAAGTTAAATTTTTCCGTACTACAAATTGCACAAACTACCTGAGGTTTAGGGTAGTCACGTTACAAGATCACAGATAACAAACATGACACCCCAGCCTTTGAAAGAGCAATTTGTAGAAGAGGAACGAATGCAATATACAAGGTTTTCAAAAATAATCTTCGAATTTTTGTGTAGTTAGCTAAACCTCATAAGCAGATTTCATAACTAACCCCGAGAATAAATACATATATATGCTATGGAGGCATACCTCATAGAACAACTCTGTGTCCTGTTTTGACCATCTTGTGCTTGGTGTTTTGTCCATGTACGTCTGGTAATTGAAGAACTCAGTGGTATCTTCAGCTATAGGACTTCCTTTTTCATCATTATATTCTCCATCTTGCTTAGAAATAAACGTCCCTTCCTCATTATAAGAACCTGAAGAATTACCATTACTGCATAGTGAAACAACCAAACCATGTTATCATTGTTCACCAAACAGATATCTTATATACTGTTACAGATGTACAACATAAATATTGGAAACCACATTTTACAAGTTAGAAAGAGGAGATAAATGCAATTTGCAAGCATGCTAAAACATAAAAGTATTTTGATATGTTTAACAGAGACAAATATAGTTCAGCAGCATGATACAGAAAATGTTAATTTAAACGTTATTATAGGCACGTCAAGCTTCAAAACAAATAAATTATTCCAGTAGAAGTATTGCACCTGGTCCGACATATCGTTCATCTTAATGATCCTCCAATTTAAGAGATTGAAAGAAAACTAAAACCAATTTGCTTATTAACAAAAACAACAAAAACCCATGCCACTAAAATTTCCTTTCAGGTTCAAATGATAACACCTCTCCAAAACTGAAATGGATATTTTTCTCAAACAATGACCATTAATTTGCCTAGGACCACATTTAATGTTCCCAGTCCTGGAAAGACTAGCAAAAGCAACAGCATCAAACTACAGATCATTCACATAATCCAATAGGGGCAGGGGAAACAGTGTTTCCTATTAGCAGCTTCTTCAGAAATTCAAATCAATAATTTAATTTGATGAATTATGGACAGAAGCACAGACATTAAAAAATATGCCCTCACAAAGATATACCCAAATCCGAATTCATGTACCTTTCACTATGGTCAATGAATCAAAGATTATTACCTTTGTTTGGTGCCTGGTGCTCCTGCCTCTGCTTCATTTTTTTTCTGCACAATGTAAATAATGTCAGAATTTTAAATATCAACGCATCCACTAACAACCAATGTGAAAAATATTGTTGATGTTACACTGTATACAACTGACCATACAGACATCACTACTAGTGAGCTACAGCCTATGGCATATATACCAAAGTCTAATGCACAGTCTACATACCATCTGTTTCTCCTGATGCTCAGCACGTGCAATTAAATCTCTTAAAGGCACCTTCTGGTAGTCAATCTCATCTTCAGGAGTTTCAAGCAAAGCCTTGTCCACCACTATTATTGCATAAGCATCTCATCAGTAAATTAACTTGTGGAGCATATTAAACTGCAGCTTGCAGATGTAAAAAGTTACAAAATACCTCGCTTTCGCCGAGTAGAATGGGAAAACTTTTTAGGCTTTGCACCCGTATCTTGATCTGATGCCTCCTTGGCCTTCTTCCGTTTTTTGGCAGGTTTTTCTTTATCATCATTGGTTTTTCCAGACTCTGACTTCGATTTTTTCATTTTTAATTCACTTTCTGCTTGAACTTCCTCCTCATTGTTGTTTTCCTCCTCTGTAGGAGAGCTGACAAGACATTCTTCAGACAACTCCACGCTATGGAGGCCTTCATCCTCATCCACTAATTCACAAAAGTTTATTTTGTTTTTTCTTGGACGTAATGATCTACCAGACCCATTATCATGACTATCACGAGAAGGCTCTGGCTGCTGTGAAGAAGGATCTTGTGCAATATGAGCACCACTACTTAGTGTCTTTGCTCGGCGAGAAGCCTAGTAAATTATAAAATACAAGTCCAAATAATTTTTATAGAAGTATGAAAGATTAGTCACACATAAAATATATTAAATATAAAATAAATCACTTTGTATATATGCAATAAATCGCTTACAAGTTTTGCAGGAATCTCATTCACACCCTCCGAATGGATGCCAGAATCCAAATTAACTGTCTCCATAGGATTCATAGACTCTTCATTCGAAGGAAGATCAGAAGCAGGCTCACGGGGTGAGGAACTAGTGAAATCAATCGATGAGAAATCAAGAACATCATCCTGTTGAAATGTGGCAGTTGAATCCTTATCTGCATAATCAATTTCCTGCAATGGACCAACTTAGACCTAATATTCAACTGGATAGCATTAGTTTCAGTAATAAACCACACACAATAACTATTTGGTCTTTTACCTCTCTATCCAACTCTCTAGTGTGTAATGGATCACGTACATCACTGATTAGACCAATAGGCTCGCCAGCAGTAAATGAATTAATGCATTGTGACGTGCTAGGATGCATGGGAACACTATCCCCCTTACATGCATAAGTTGAGCCCTCAACATAAGAATGAGGATTGGCATCAGTAAAAGCAGCCACCTCTAAACAAGAGAGAGTAAATTCAGTGATATAGTCTGAAGTGTGAGGAGACGGGAAAAAGTATATAAACAAAATATAGGTTAAAATAAAAACAAGATCTTATTTACTCACCCTCATCAATAGAAGTTGGAGAAAGAAAATCACCAAGAGCATCCAACCCAAAATATAGGTTAAAATAAAAACAAGATCTTATTTACTCACCCTCATCAATAGAAGTTGGAGAAAGAAAATCACCAAGAGCATCCAACCCAATAAATACATCAGGATTCTAAAAACAACAAAAATAGAAATAAACACATTAGCAAACTAAGAGGAGTAATTAAGAAATTGAATCAAGGTACTCACCACTCCAGTCGACTTTTCCATGGAAGCATGCCAGCCTCCATTGTCGTGAGGGGCAACATCAGACCCTGAAACCACTAAGAGGAACCAACAATGATTTACTATCCAGTTCGCCTTATAGTTATAATAGTTGTTAAGTAATAGTATGAGTAAAAATAGATCCCCTCTTAACCTAGAAAATACTTACAAGGTTCTGATGGCTTTGCAGTCACATCAGGCTCAGTAAATTTATTTTGTGTAGAATCATGGTTTTGAACTGCTTGTGAAGTATGAACTGAAGTAGAAGCAGGTCCCTTTTTAGTTGGCCGGAACTTTGCCTTTGGCTGGAACTTTCCTACTGCCTTGGCTGCAAATGCTTAAGCTTAAGTGGTTGAGTAAATACTACAATTAAACTTCCAAAGACAGCCACATCACAAAACAGCACAATAAGATTTTTTTTACCCGTCTTCGTTCCTACTTCATCAGCAAAAATATCATCCAATGGATCAAAATCAGTACTCATGGTGTATCCTGGATCAAAAAAAGTATAGTTATATAGAAAATCAACATCAGAAACTGTAACGCCCCGTTATTTTAATAGAAATATACCGAATTATTTTTCCAAAAATCAGAGTAAAATTTTGAAAAATCACTTTAAACGTTTATTTAACGGGCGCTGCTCAAACATACACAAATCAACAATTAAGTCCACACTTAACCCATCGGGGAATAAACCATTCCGAACAGTTCATCTCATGCCAACATTCAACAATTACTCATTTATAAGAAATAATCCAAGTCATAATCAAATTCCAAAATCATCATCCAAGTTCAAATTCCCGAACATGCATAATAATTCTCAAACCCATCATGGTTCAATCTCCAAAAGAACAGTATAATCATATAATCATGCTGACAAGAGATAGATACTAAATAAAAACGGAAGCAAGTAAAACAGTTCAATAGCACATAATGACCCTGCCTCGCTCGTCTTATTGCCACGGCCACCAGTTCAACCTGAAAAGAAAGATAATAGTGGGGGTGAGCGAACACTTGCTCACCGTGGATACCATGCAGTAGAATTAATATAAAGACTTAAAATATGGACACAAATCGACTAGTCTACCCCCCCAACATATGCTCTATACTCATGTGATCACAACTAACCTGTCAATACCACATAGACATGGATAAGCCGTCGATACGAAAAAGACGGGAGCAATCTGTCAATACACCAAAGACAAGAGCAAGCCGTCGATACGAAAAAGACGGAGTAAGCCCTCGAAAGGCTAGAGTTAGGCCTCATAGACTACCGGTTCACATGCATACATTGATTATCAAGTCAAGCATTTATAGAAATTAACATACATGGTAAGGTTTATCAAGGACGAAAGTTTGACTCCTCTTAATCTACAAATTAGGGTTTTAGTTACTACGGGGTTGATTAACAAATAGATAGAACGCACAAGGCGAGCAATTAGGCAGACAGGCAAAAACAAAGCAAACCACTCTCTTTGAACTATGAGGCTCGAAATTCATTTTCATCTCTAACCACAAGCTGAAACACAAGCTGAAACATCAGGAACAATATTCAACACACATAATTAATGTGCAAACCCAAAACATACATAAGGAACGGCTCAGCACATTCGGAACTCAAACATGGCCAAAACATTAACTAATTCTCCTTTAACCATCTCAAAACAAAGCATGCTTATAACACTAATTCCTAAGCCTAAGTTCAGCATCAAAACCACATTATTAGCACAAAGAATCATATAAATACGGCTCAGCATGCTTTGTACAAAATAATGCAAAATACATAGCTCATGCTTTCTCCTTTCTAAATATTAATTAATCTTAAGAAGGCATGTAATTACATCTAATTACTGAATCATAACACTTCAAAAACTCACAATCATAGAACATATTTTTCATATCAAATGCCATGCACAACCGCCTCAAAACAACTCAAACAATAAGGCAAGACAACACAACTCAAGCGCATAAATCAAAATAAGGGCTAAAGCCATCAACACTAATGTGCCTCAAAATCACATTCTTTTATCTCAAGCAACCATCTCATATGCCAAGGCCATATAACTGAGATCACATGCTAATATTTATTCATTCACAGCCTCATAATCACCTCACATCATACGGCTTAGCAATATGCCAGCACACGAGTCTCAAATGTGCACAAAAAGAGGCTGCAGGAGCTCATTTAACATCGGCAAATAAGAGACAAGCCAAGGATAGGCCATAATACCTCTTGCCGGGAATAAAAATGGAGAGAGAAAAATTCGGTTCTCGGCTCTCGGTTTACTGCAGCCCGATAGCCCTCGACTGCTGCTCGACCCACACAAAGGCTCCGAACGCGGTGGGCTCGTCTCTGTCGCTGCTGCCAGGTGCGTGCACGGTAGACCTCGGACGATTTGTCACGACACAGTGCGAGACTACGGTTCGTGGCAGCTGAACGGACGTGAACGGGACTCGCCTCGGCTCACGGTTGCTGTCCAGGGTGGCTCAAATGACGGCGGTTAAACAGCAATTTCTCGCGGCTATGGCTGTTCGCGACTCGACGGTGACTGGGACTGAAATTATCGTCGTCGGGAGAGGCTGGGTCGCACACAGTACGCCGGCGAAGGGCTCGCGAGGGCTTGTTCACGGCGTGCGTCGCCGGCAGGTCTCGGCAGCGGTTGATGCCGGCGATAAGGGACTCGATTCGCGAACAGAGAAAGAGGGTGACGAAGGGTCGTTGCCGGCGATTGATAGGCGGATGTCGGCGGTCTCGGTTGGCGTGCTGTTCGAACGGGACACAGGTCTCTCACCGCTGGTCTCGACCTTCGATTGCTTGCTCGTTGGGGTTGTCGCCGGTAAAACACTGGCCGAAAAGAATGGAGGCGAGGTGAATTCTGCCCGGCTGCGGCTATTGATGGCCGCTCACTGTACACCGGTCGAGAAGGGGTTTCGCGACGTGGACTGAGGAATCGGCGGTTTAGTCTCTAGTCTCCCTCTCTAGCGGGCCTTTAAAACTGCAGCTCAACCCGTCTATTTGGCAAGAAGGGCCGTGGCGACCGACCCCTCGACCCATGCTCATTTTAGCTATGTTTGGTAGACCAATAAGCTAACTTATACTTATTTGATAGCTTATAAGCTCCATATAAATAAGTTTCGTTTGATAGGACGACTTATTTAAAAAGCTCGAGCTTATTTGATAAGCTTTTTTTGGTAGATTTTCAAATAAGCTCGTTGAATTTTTTAATTCAGCTAGCTTATCAGCTAATTTTACTAAACACTTTTATCATATAAGCTAGTTTTTCCGCTATATTATAAGCTCAAAAATTACTAACTATCAGCTAGCTTATCAGCTAATTTTACTAAACACTTTTATCATATAAGCTAGCTTTTCCGCTATATTATAAGCTCAAAATTTACTAACTATCAGCTAGCTTATCAGCTAGCATTTTACAAGCCTAACCATATTCCTTATTTCCTTATGACTTGGGTGATATTAGAATTTTACAAATTGTGAAGGACTAAATCTTAATTTTACCAATTGTTGATGGTTTGAAATCTCAGGTAAACCAATTTCTTAAAATCCTGTTTTTTTTGTTTATAACGTCGTACATTCTTAAACCCTTAATTTCACTTTTTTTTTTTTTTTTT